TGTCCTTCCTCGGGTCACGCTTAAAGCCAGCTGAACTTTTCATGGCAGTGAAGGATGAACACGTCACTGAAGTATGAATGAAACGCGGAGAGGTGAGTCCGGAGGCCCCGCCCCCTCCGCAGGGCTGTTTAATAGGGCCGCAGACAGGTGCGCGGACAGACTGCGGGCGGGCTCCGAGCCAGCTGTTTCCTGTCGTTACTGAAGTCTGAGAGAATGGAGATGCTGCCGGTGAACGGGACGGACTTCCAGCCGTCCGAGTACAGCTTCGAGCGGCGCTTCGACGAGCGGGGAGCGATCGAGTGGATGCAGGCCAACTGGTGAGTCCCGCTTCAGCCGAAACCCCGAGACGGGACCGGACGCGTCATCTCGAAAAACGGCAAAATTAAATTAAAGTTAAGTTAGTAAAGTTATCGTGTTGTTAAAGGTGCTCTTCGTCTTACTGGGACACTCGGGGTACAGCCTCGGTTTCGGGATACACCCAAGAATCCCCCCGATCCGGTTCACCAAAAGTGTCTCACCTGCCCGGTAGCGGCAGTACCGGGAGGACCGGCTCTGTGTCGGTGGAGAGCGTGATTTGTGTGCCGTGATAGCGGGATAGATGGGGCGGTGTGGGTTTTTCACGACACTCGGACTCATTCCGTTTAAAAGCCGCTTTAAGCGCAGAAACGAACTGTTTTTGAACGGGGTTTGGTGGGAGCACGCACGGATACTTTCTCCGGGTACACACCTGCCGAGAAACTTCCAGAGCCTGACGTAAGGACGTGTGGTCAGTGGAGCACGCGGGTGTACCGCAGGTGAGCCGCTCGGCCAGTGACGTCACGGTTGTGTTTGCTTTCGTCCCGCCCTGCCGAGCCCTCCGCGAGCGACGGGCGTGATGCGACGTGAAATATTTGCTCATAACTGTGATAGGAACACAGCCGGTGATGTGCGCATGCGCCAGCTGCTGTATTTAAAATGATGGAACCCTTCAGAAACTCTGCTGCCACCAAAACAAATGATTTCCCTGAATCCAGAAACGTTGAAGCTCCTAAACGCGTGTTTGCTCCGCAGGAAGAGCTCGTTCGTGTTCTGCGTGCTGTACGTCGCCCTGGTCTTCGGAGGGCAGCACTACATGAAGACACGCCCCAAGCTCAACCTGCGCCGGCCGCTCATCCTCTGGTCACTGAGCCTCGCCATCTTCAGGTAACACTCCTCACACGTGCACGCACTCACACGCACCCCACGGACAGCGGGACTCGTTCCTTGCTCTGTGATTGGTCACAGAGTTAACCACGCATAAGCGACACCTAAAACGAGACGTTCAGCAACGCTGTGATGCTCTGAAGCTCCTCCCACTACATCACCATAAAAGAGCTGTCCGTGTTGGTCGTGGCGTGACTCAGTGATGTCACTGATCCCACCGTCAGGCTGCAAATGAAGGAAACTCTCAAAGCAGTGAATCCCGGGTGGGCGGGGCATGCACGCGCTAGTA